GGTCCCGGACATGTATGTTAAAATGTGCATGTGGTGGTTACATGCTTGCAATCCCAAAGCTGGGGTGTGGAGGCAGGAAAATTCCCAGGGCTTTCTGGCCTAACCTAACTGGTAAGATCCAGACCGCTAATAGATCCTGTCTTAAAAGGTTAACAGTATCACTAGGATGACACCCAACGGTGTTCTCCAACTTCCACATACATGCAGCCATGCACACACGTATGTACATATACATACAAGCCTGCACTAAAAATAAATAACAGTTCATGCTAAGTGCTCTGCATAGTTCCTGGGTCCCAGCAAGGTGAGAGCCAAGGCTGTGTAAAAGCAAGAACAGTCAAAGGGACAGATGCCAGGGGCCTCTTCCAAAGCCTTCCCGGCCGTGTGTGCAGTGGGGAGCTGTTCACAGCTTCAGTCTGGACAGAGATAGGAACCCTTCAGTGAGGAAGACTCGGTCCTCGAATCCTTCCCTAAAGTGAATTCTCAGCTGTCCCTGTAGGATTACTTTAGGAGTGCTATGTAGCCCCTAAGGCCAGGTGATGATGCGTGTCACTGTATCTCAACATTTGTCCTAAAACAAATTTAGAAGAAAATACCTCGCAAGGGGAAAATGCTTCTGACTTTGGAAGTGAAAAGAGCCTAGGGTTTAAAGAAAAGCGATTTTTCCACTTTGAATCTTTAAAAACATTTAACTTAATTTGGATGTAATTAACATTTAGATTAGAAGCTTCGAACCTCCACTGTGGTTTCCCTTTCTTGTGTCACAGAATTCTCAAGATGCTCTAGGGAACTAAGACATCTTGTCTGTCACTGAGACTCTCCCAGGCGTGGCTGTCCCAGCGCTCAGGGAGGCAGGTGGACCTCCAAGAGTTCAAGGCCAGACTAGTCTACAGAGTAAGTTCCAGGACAGCCAGAGCTACATAATGAGACCTTGTCTTGAAGAAGGAGGCAGAAGAGGGGGGATGTGGAGAAGAAGAGAAAAGAAAAAAGAAAAGGGAAGAGAAGAGAAGTAAAGAAAAAGAAAAGGCTAAATTCTGGCTCCAGGTCACCCATATGGACCTCAGGCCAGATCAGTACAGCACTGAATTCCTTTAATGACCAACAAATTTTTAACCATTTTTTAAAATGTGTTATTTTTTCTGGCTTCCTTCAAACACAGCTTTTATAAGCACGTTTCTTTCCTTGATTCAGTGGCTTTCCAGTTCCTGTCCAGTTTTACTAGCATTCCACTATTCTAAGTTCTCTTTCATATTTGACCTCTCCCAGATCTTCTTTGAATCAGAGATTAAGTGTCTCGGCCACCCTTCTCAGGGATTCCTGGGCTGTGACACGGAGAACAGGAAAGGTGGTAGAGCCCTGTTGTCCAGTGGTAGGAAGTAATGCTTCTCGCTGGAACTATGTGGCTGGATCATTCAGAAGTCAAGGCTTTAATCGTTCCTAAGTTAAGGCCGTAAGGTAGGACCCTATTTCTTTTTTCTGAATGGCATACCCCTGGACAGCATTCTTTCCTTGCCTGGGAGCTGAGGCAGGCGACTTGGTACCCCTGCGTCCTCCGGATCTTACTAGGGTCTCCATGGAAGAGCTTAAAGGAACTGTGCTGCCTCCCATGATAAGAAGTGGTCACCTGCTTGTTCCCTGCATTACCCAGCCCCCGACTACTCTGAGCATCACCACGTGCCAAGGCCCCTTGCATTTCCTCGTGTTTGGTGTTCCCAGCATCTCTCCTTCTGCCACCCTTGTTCAAGGCCATCAGCTGCCCACCAGGAATGCTCACAAAGGCACTGAAAGTCATTTGTTCTATAAATAATGCCTATTTAGTACAAGTCTTCCAAGTGCTAGTGTAAAAAAGAGGATTAAAAAGCGCTCACCACACCCTCAGGAATCATGGGGTGGGACAATGCCGGAGAGGGGAGAAACAAGTCCTTAGACGACTTCAGGGCAGTGGAATGCTTCCAGCAGCTATTTCATAATTTTAGACAACGTTCTTGGATTTCTAACCACATCATCTGTGGAAGTCCTGGCGATATGCAGGTAGATTTACAGTCGCCTGGTAAATAGCTGTTGGATTGGAGCCTAGTCAGTAGTTTGGTGTTTAAGTACAAATAAAAACTAATGTGGCTTCAAACGAAAGTGGGCAGAGTACATACATGGGATTTGCTCATGGATTGGACGTGGTTGGAGAGGGAAATATGAGGTCAGCAGTAGTGTTTGGGTTTCCGGGTTGCGTAGCTGGCTACATAGTAGTCTAGAGAGACTCATATTTGCAAAAGAGTAACAGGAAGTCTTATAGGAGAAGGTGTATCTGGATGCCGGCCAGGTCTAGCGGGCATCTCAGAGTAAGGTAGGAGGTGGCCATTTTGGCACTATCAACAGACAGTTGGCTCTTGAGCCTTCAGAAGAAATAGTTGTCCCTGCACAGAGTCCATAGTGGAGAGAAAGGCACATGCCGGGCCTCTCTCGATCATGGACAGTGCAGGGCAAATCAGGAGAAGTGCTGTGAGTACAGGGTTGGGGAATAGAGTCGATAGCAGGCTCCAGGCCCCTTCACAGGCCTTTGATGCCATGCTTTCCAGGTCCAAAGAGGGGCCTGGGAGCCTCAGACCCAGTGGCCACTGTGGACATGGCATCTACACAAGATGTGAGAACAGCTCAGTGCACCATGAGATCTCAGCGCGCCTGCAGTTTTAGCTGAACTTTGTCAGCCAAGAGCATTTTCAACAAGATACATTTCTAAGGGAAATGGCTTCCAGGCTTCCATTTAAAAGCCCTGCCCTGAAAGCACTGGCTTCCCAGAGGCCTCCAAGAAACCACAAGATTCATCAGGTCATCCTTGGCTGGCTGTTCCTGTTTGTCAAAAGAGCTCAGCAGCATGGCTTGGCTGGATTTGAAGATTTCTGAGCTAAAATCAAAAGGCCTGCACTGTAGAAATGGGCCACACAGAGTAAAAACTTGTCCTCTGGAGGCTTCTAGATGCTTACATGTGAATTTTGCTGAGAGCCATATTCCCTGCAGTTCAGAGGCCCCATCCTGACACAGGGTCTGCTCAGCCAGGCAAAGGCAGATTCTGGCCCAACAGTGCTTATCTGCTTCTGGCTTCTGTTCTCAGTCCCATTTTCTGCACTCGGCTGTCAAGCAGAGAAGCAGTTGCTCAAAATAATAGCCTTAGAGTCTTGGGGGAAATCTGCCTGGTTCAGATATTTCCTCTTCTTTTTGCATTCCTCATCATGCAGACCTGCCATTGAATAGGCAGTAGACTGATGGCCTGGGGAGATGATGTTTGTTTAGTTTTTGAACACACACAGACACACACACACACACACACACACACGCACACACGGAAGGCACAGGAGTTTCCATGTACCCCACCCCCATGCACAGCCTCTCGTCATCTACACGCCTACCAGAGTGAGCACTGGGGGACTGATGACCTTGTGTTGACATACTGTCACAGTGCGTGGCTTGCATTAGAGATTAGAGGTCCCGTGGTCTTGTACAAACATCCAGCAACATAATAGGTATCCAGGACTACCCAGCAGGTTTTCATGGCCCTAAAGACTCCCCACACTCTGCCTGCATAGCCCACCCTCCCCAAACCACAGTGAGGCGGTTATTAGAAGGTGTTAGCTGACAGCGCGTGTCAGTGTGGAAATCTCAGGGGCACACCGATAGTTGTCACTTTCCTCAAGCGTCCGTATCTTAGGGGCTGTCACCTCTGTGACCAGGCCACTGAGCTCTGAAATTTGTCCGCTGTACCCTCTTCAGAGGGACTGCTTCTCATTCGCGCTGCTCGCAGGCCAGCGTCCCTTCCACTTCCTACACCACCATCCTGACCCAGGTGTCCTTGTGCCTTTTCAGCAAGTGGCGTAGAGGGGGTTGGATCCACGACTAGTGACTCATGAACCTGACCGCCTCTGTCACGTTTATTTACAAATTCACACTCGGCAGCACATTCCCTCCCTGTTTGGTGGAGCCTATACAGAGAGATGGACATTAGTAGGCAATAACCCGAGGATCGAGCCCGATTACAAAGTCAAGTCAAGTGCTGAGCATCCCCTGGCTCACGACAGGTCTGATGTAAGTGGGCTGTTGGGATGACACGGGACATCAGGTCCGCAAAGACCATCAGCTAAATGGTGGGAGAAAACACTTTGCCATCACTTGTAAGAGAAAGGGCAGATCGCAAATGCGTTGCGAACTTTGCAAATTTTCCTAACACAAGAAGGCTTGGGCTTACACGTTGGCACAGTGGAGTAACGGGGTACAGTGCCCAGACATAGCTTGATGCCATCAGGAAGGACCACAGGCTGTGTGGGCGCTAGGAGAGGAAGCATCTCTAAAGGGCTAATCCCAGGCCTCATTAGGCTGGGATTAATCCTCAGATGCTGGACGGGATGCCTCTGCAGTCTCCCTTCTCCTCGTGCCTCGTGTTGCTTGTATGTAAGACAGCATAGGGACATCATTTCCTGATAAGGATGTCTGAATGTGTGTGACTAGTTTATGTTAAGTCATTATAACTGGGATGGGAGAACAAAGGAGTGTCTCTCTGTCCTGCCCTAGGCCTGTTATGACTCTCTCTGCAACCACTTACTTAATCAAGGGGCCACCCAATGACATACCCAGGCCCAGCTCAGCCCAGTCCTCATCATCAGAGGACACTGGCACTATCAAAGGGAAATCTGCTCTGTGAACACAAAGGTTTCCCTTGAGGAAGAATCAAGTCTTAACTCCTGAGTTTGAGAATATGTACTCCTGTTTCTTTAACTATTTGAGAGGAATTCACATCTGGGTCTCAAAACACCTGTGTTCTGTTGTAAGCATGATGATGTTCCTGAAATGTCTCAATGTTAATGAGCATCTCTCTGAGCAGTCCATTTGGAGATACATACTATGATATTGTTTTGTTCTATTAGTGGAGTATTGCGGGAGGGAGGGACACCCTCGTATAAACAGATGTTTTATTAATTGAATTCCACTTTTCTTTTTTCTGCCTCTCATTTCAGAACGGTTTGATCACCACTGTCCCTGGGTAGGCAACTGTGTGGGGAAAAGAAACTACAGATTTTTTTATATGTTTATTTTATCCCTGTCTTTCCTGACAGTCTTTATATTTGCATTCGTTGTCACCCACGTCATTCTTCGTAAGTATGCTGCCTGAACAGATTACGTATGTAACCATTTGCCTGACTTTGGCTTTTCTGATTTATTTTGATTTACTACTTTTGATCATTTCTGGCTTTCTCTTCCTTCTCTTTCCCCATTCTCCTCCTCACCTCCAGCCTGCCCACTCTGTTTTTCACTTTCTCCATCCCTCCTCATCCCTCTCTCTTTCCTAAATCCCATCCCTCCAATGGCACTTTCCAGATGACATCTGGGCCAGGTTCCACTTACACTAACAAGGCGCCCCTTGATATGCCTGCCCTCTACAACCTCAGTGACATTGGCTGGGGATCCCCTGAAAGGCTCATCCCTTCGTTTTGCACCAGGATCTACAAACATAATGATAACCATTGAATAGCTGAGTCTATTCTCAAATGACCCCTGGTTTAAAAATATATGTCCCTAGAGGAAAAATATGACATGCTATCTATTGACCCATGGTTTAAAAATATACATCCCTAGAGGAAGAATGTGGCTGGGGACAAATACTGGATTTTCTCATACACACATATACTATACATAAACTATACATTCAATGAGATATTCAACTTTCTGCAAGAATATGAAAAAACAACCTCTGACATATAAAGAATGCAACTTTTCTTAAAAGATATATTTGAAAATAAATGATTTTAATATATTTGTATAAGAAATGAGGGTTTTGTTTTGTTGGTTTTTTTTTTTTTCATTCACCATTCTGAAGTTCATACTGAGTTTCTTTTGTCTTGGTCGTTCACTTTCCCACAATGGGAAATGTTGAGAAGGAAATTAATTGGTTTTTAACTACAAATCTAAGCTTTAAACTTGTATTAGAGTGCCACTGCCCACATTCCTGAAGCATAAGAACCCATGAACAAGCGCACAGCCTCACACTGCTGTGTTTCTGGAAGTATGTAAACAGAGAGGCCTTATTTTCTTCCCCTGCCAACATGGATGTCATGAATGGGGCAGGTTAAGGCCCGCCCCATTCCCCACTCCTGTTTTGGGGCGTCTGTGTACAGACTGGGGAAGCAGGGGTCCAGAACGATTCCCATCGGTCTCCCAGCTCAGTCAAGTGTGCTACTACATCACCTACCCGAAGGGCTCACAGCTCTTCTAAACTCCAGTCATTTCTGACTACGATTCTCTTGTCTAGATGGGACCCAAATCTGGAATGCGTGCCTGAGAGTCTAAGTTAGTGGGTTTCTGAGAGAAGCCTAGTATTTGTCAGAATCCTCTTACAGCTGGAGCTGGGGCCAGGGTGGCTTCGCAGAGACAACCCCCCCCCTCAGAGTTTTGTAAATCCCAAAGTGGCAAAAGTGGAGCCAGTCTTTGGACTTATGCACAAAAGCAGCAAAGAGAACGCCAAGGGCCTTAGATGTTGTTTTGAAGGAAACGATTGTTCACATGGGCAGAGAGTAAATCTCAATACCCCAGCACACACGGTGACACTCAGAAGTAGTATTTTTGCCTTACATTCTTTTTTAATTTTATAAACTTTCTTATTAAAAAAAAAAGCCTTGCAAATAAATAAAAATGTCACACACCAAAATTAACCAGATTCAAACTCTGAATGGCATAGTGAATTTCTGCATGGTTCACGTAGGCATGGCTTATACCCCTATGCCCTTCAGGAAAGCTCAAAATGCTTCCATTTCACACTATCAGATCATATTCCTAGCCTCAGCCTTACCTTCCAGAGCTTTCAGGCTGGCTTTCACTTGCCCAGTTGTGTATATAAATGTCAGGAAAACACATACACACACACACACACTTGTCCAGTTCACCACTCATACTCTTAGACCTCACAAGCTCTCATACCTACTCACGTGTATTCATGCACACACACACATGAATAAAAACAAATCTTTAAAAATTTGCTTAAAGTATGATGTCAATATATAAATTACAAAACACAGTCCCTCATCTCATCACACACAGCTTAACTCACACCTCCCAGTGTTTTTTTCAGGACAAGAGCAACACCATCACCCAAAAGCAGTCAGTAAATGAACTTCATCTTTGTTTACTCTGAGAACAAGAGAGACTGTCGCTGGTAGCCAAGTCCCTTAAGACCTCTGCAGCCAAAAGTTAATGAATGTGGGCACAACAGAAGAAACTGTGTAGGAGGCTGTTTTCCTGTCAAAGTGAAGAAGACAAAAGAGTAATCAAAGCTCTAATTTATGGGAAAATATACAGGCATGCATCTGCTTTCATTGAAAAAAATAATAATGTCCTGCAGATGTTGGTTCTAATTATGAATCTGCCATCTTCTTGAATGGCTTCAGTGAAATCATGGTCTCTGATCAGTAAACTGGGCGCCCTAAGGTTTACCAAATACTGTGTAGTGGATGTTTAGATGCCTGTTGTTCTTATGTGGATGAGAGCATTGAGCATGGTGTGGATGTCTGAACACTAAATGTTGGCTTCATTCCCACAGGTTCACAGCAAACGGGATTCCTCAATGCCCTTAAGGACAGTCCAGCGAGATATCCTTTCCAGTGGCTCTGTGGGGACTTGTGGGTTCAGTATGTCACCAACTCATACCCTTACCTCTTTATCTTTCTGGCTTTGGCTTTTCTTCTCATAAATCACATTCTTACTCATTCTATAAGGTGTTGAGAGCCTTAGAGAACATTTGCTTGTATGATGAATGACATCTGAACGGCACGTCTCCAGGTGACTCATGCAGCCCTGTCTAAACTGAAGAGCTATTTAGCTAGAGAGCTATGTAGGAAGACTTACCTGCCCCTGTCCCACCCCCAGAAGCCAGCCGTCGGGTTGGGCTGGCTTCATCAGGTCAGGCTGGAAGTAGAGCTGTGAGCCTGCCTGAGGACACCATGATTAGCAGGGGCTTCTGCCTTCATGGATGCCCAGGTGTGGGCCTGTTTGGGGTATGGGGCAGCAGGTGAGGCTGGACCACTGGAGAGACTGGGTTTGGGGTGCCTCGCAGTGTTCTTCTACAAGTGCAGTGACCTCTACTGTCTCTAGACAGAACTTTCACAAACCTGAAAGGTCACTCTCAAGCCATTGGGAGCAACGGGACCATTTCCCACCCTCCCAAACAGTGCACCGTAGTATTTTGAACTCTGAAAGGAAAACTGTCTATGTGTTAAGTGCTACAAGGGCTTCTGCTGAGCAGGCCTAGGCTTGTGCTGATTTGCTGGGAATCAAACGGATGGGCCTGCTGACCCAGCTCCTTAGCTCTCTTTCTCCTTCACGTAATGGGGTAGACCATACTTAGACTCTTCATTATTCTCATGAGTGGTTTTCAGAGGCTCTATGTAAACACATTCTTTTCAAAGTAAAGCCAAGCCCCAGGGTGTGGAGTGAACGTGGTGGTCATGGGTATTCGCACAACAGATGCTATCTCCTCCTGGCCCTGCAGGGCGCTGTGAGCAGCATAGGAGGCAGGTTACCTGCGCATCTTCAGTAGTCAGCTGACAGCCTGTTAATGAGGTCTTTATGGTGGAAGGAGGCTGGAGACATGTGGATGATGAGCATGGGGGGGGGTGTTGAAGAATAAATTCCACATGTCCTAGCTCCTGTTAATGATACAGAAAACTGGAGTTAGGCACAGATTTGCAAGAAGACAGACTAGTTCATGGAATCAAGGCTCATCTGAGATGCTAAGAACAGGTCAATGAGGAAGGGCATCCTTTGTTCCTCTTTCCAACACCACCCATCGCCCCAGTAACATCCAGCTTCAGAGGATGCTGCTTCAGTGGGTCTTCAGGTGAAGCTTTGCCTGTGTCTTTCACGGAATCAATCGTGCCTTGTGACAGTGGTTCTCAATCTTCCTAACGCTGCAGCCCTTCAACACAGATCTTCATGTTGGCTCCCAACCATAAGGTTACCTTTCCTCTACTTCATAGCTGTCATTTTGCTACTGTTATGAGTCATAATGTAAATATATGATATGCAGGATATCTGCTATTCGACTCCTATGAGGGTTGAGACCCAGAGGTCGAGAAGCGCTATTTTATGGGAACCACCCCCAAGGCTGGTGGCCAGTGTGTGGTAGGTGCACCTGACCTCTGATACTGCATGCTCACAGAGCTGTGCCCTCACTGACAGAAGTGCTGCCCATAGCTCAGCATCTCTAGATCTCCAGGCTTCTAAACAGGGCTCCATAACGCATCCAGAGGAGACTTTGACTTGGAGTAACCTCAGTGAACACTGCCAAATGCTCTAGGGTGAGCAGATAACTTGTGTTTCCAGACGTTCGTGGCTTCACACCTGGTCTTCTGCCCAGGGCAGGCAAAGGTTTCTCATAGCAGATTTATTCTGAAAAATATCCAGCTAAAAACTATGTCCCTGAAGAAGAGAGATGGGAGGTAAAGATGCCCAGTAGCCAACTACAATACCTTATAGAAATGTCAACAAAAATGGTGGCAGTGCTGACAAGTGAGCAAAGATGTGCCAGCCTCTACCAGCCTGGATGGTGTGTAGAGCCAGCAGGGCCCGCCAGAGTGGACAAGAAGGGAGCGAGAAGGTCACAGACAGCCTTGAGCAGAAGGGACTCTCGGTAGGCCACACACTAGCCAGCATCACAGCCAAGAGGGTCCAGCCTCAGCCTTTGGATAGCCTTCCCTTGTCTTTCTCATCTCTTCCTGCCTCTCACTGCCGCCCACCATTTCACTGTCTTCCCTTTGATCGTCACATCAAAGAAGCAGAGGCTGTGAGGAAGGGCCTCTGGCCAGTGGCCAGGTAGGTAGCTGCCCCTATCATAAGTCTATGAGAGCCCCACCCCCACCTCAGAAAGAGATAAAGGGAGAACCTACCCCAGACACACAGGACCAGGCCTTCAGCACACCCAGCCAGTTGGGTTCAAACAGAGGAGATCCACATGGCAGCTGGTCCTACAAAAAAAAATTTTTTTTTCAGCTGAACTCCTACCATGAACCAAACCTGTGGGTCACAAGCTTGAAGACAACTGACCCAGGCCTTTGAGGGATGTTCTGTATAGAAGGGCCTGGGCTGGGATGGCAGGCTAGCACACAACACATGCCTGCTTCTTTCTGCCCTCAAGAGCTAGGCGCTGTGAAGTCACGGCTCTGCTTGGGTGGGACGAGGGACAGCTTGGTGGAAGAAGCAGTGTAGCCGGATTCGTGGCCAAAGGCTGGGTGAGGGCAAGGAGGGAGAACGGTGCCACATCTGAGGACATGAGTGTGACAGAGTACCTGATGAAAGCTCCTGGGATGTGGGGGTGGGGTGGGGGCTGAGGAGTGAGTGGGGGACACTGCACTTGTAGTTCCTCATGGTGGAGTTCACTGGGGCAGGAGCTTGTAGCCGAGGTTCCTCTGATCTTGGCAGAACAGGAAACAAACAAGGACCAGCAGCACCTGACTCTATCCCTCAAGCCTGTCTCTAGTGGCCTATGCCTGCCATTTAAGCCTCAGGTTCCCCAAATGTGCCACCAGCTGGAAACCAAACAGTAGGGGACATTTCACATTCAAGACATAACGGGAGGTTACACCTGGGGTGCCTTGGAGACAAAGGGTCACAGAAGCCAAGGGAGATGGAAGAGAAATGGTGAGTTCTCTTTTTTTAACGATTTTTTATTATTATTAATTACACTTTATTCACTTTGTAGTATCCCCCCATAAGCCCCTCCCTCCTCCCCTCCTGATCCTACCTCCCTCCGCCTTCTTCACACATGCCCCTCCCCAAGTCCACTGATAGGGGAGGTCCTCCTCTCCTTCCTTCTGATCTTAGTCTATCAGATCTCATCAGGAGTGGCTGCATTGTCATCATCTGTGGCCTGGTAAGGCTGCTCTCCCCTCAGGGGGAGGTGATCAAAGAACAGGCCAATCAGTTTATGTCAGAGGCGGTCCCTGTTCCCATTACTATAGAACCCACTTGGACACTGAACTGCCATGGGCTACATCTGTGCAGGGGTTCTAGGTTATCTCCATGCATGGTACTTGGTTGGAGTATGAGTCTCTGGGAAGACCCCTGTGTTCAAATTTTCTGGTTCTGTTGCTCTCCTTGTGGAGTTCCTGTCCTCTCGGGATCTTACTATTTTCCACTTCTTACATAAGATTCCATGCACTCTGCCCAACAGTTGACCATAAGTCTCAGCGTCTGCTTTGATAGTCTGCAGGGCAGAGCCTTTCAGAGGCCCTCTGTGGCAGGTTCCTAGCTTGTTTCCTGTTTTCTTCTTCTTCTGATATCCTTCCTCTTTGCCTTTCGGGATGGGGGTTGAGCATTTTAGTCAGGGTCCTCTCTCTTGATTAGCTTCTTTAGATGTACAGATTTTAGTAGGTTTAGCGTATATTACATGTCTATATGAGTGAGTATATACCATGTGTGTCTTTCTGCTTCTGGGACAGCTCACTCAGGATGATCCTTTCCCAGGTCCCACCATTTACCTGCAAATTTCATGATTTCCTTGTTTTTCATTGCTGAGTGATATTCCATTGTGTAGATGTACCACAATTTCTGCATCCATTCTTCAGTTGAGGGGCATCTGGGCTGTTTCCAGCTTCTGTCTATTACAAATAAGGCTGCTACAAACATGGTTGAGCAAATGTCCTTATTGTGTACGTGAGCCTCTTTTGGATATACGCCTAGTTTAGCTGGATCTTGAGGAAACACTATTCCTAGTTGTCTGAGAAAGCGCCAGATTGATTTCCAGAGTGGTTGTACAAGTTTACATTCCCACCGGCAGTGGAGGAGGGTTCCCCTTTCTCCACATCCTCTCCAGCATGTGTTGTCAACTTCAAAGATTGATTTCACTGTCTGTCTCTGTTTCTCTCTCTCTCTCTCTCTCTCTCACACACACACACACACACACACACACACACACACACACACACACGCGCGCGCGCATCTTTATTATCCCATGGTAACTTTAAGATCCTCTTTAGTTACCTACACGTGAAACAGAAATGAGAACATATATGTAAAGTGCACCTCACAGGAAATGCCACTGGTCAGGCAACCAAGGGAGCTGTGTAGGGACACCTCCTCCCAGACTCCTTATGTTCTCAAAGGCGGAAACCCTTAGGAGCATGTGCCGGGGAGACCGGGGCATCCTGGGCATCCTTGCAGAAGCCCCCGGAGAGGAGATCCTGCCATTCACAATCACGTCAGTGTAGCATGGCATTAACATCCCATTAAAGGGATTACAGAAGTTTTTAATCATGACTTATTGTTCGGTGCTCCCAAAATGAAAAGTGGTTGGTAAATCAAATGGTAATTGATTCAACATTTGAAGGCTTTTCCCTGGAAAGCCTCTTTATCTCCAATTTGCATTCATGGTGATGCTTACCCGCCCAAGAGGCACCCACAGACTAATGGGCATTGGTCTATCTTAATAGAATTTGCTAGATGGATTGGCAGAAAGAAGGGCACCATGTAGCATAGTGGGAAAATAATGAAGGCACAGTTAGGCCTTTGCTAGCCTGTCCATGCTGATAGGTGTTGGAGACCAAACGACTACAAGAAAATAGCGGTGCGTTTTTGTGTGTGTGTATTACACTAAGGAGTACAAACAACCTCTTAATGTTGCCTGTAGCTGTACCTGTGCTGCGAAATCCAATGACATCCCTAGTGGCACTTCGGCAAGAGCCACCTTCTCCCTACCAGCCCTGTTCCGCTCAGGAAAAGAGGCCAATGCCTGCCCACCATCCCCAGCCAATGAGAGGAAAGAGGCCTGAAACATAAGCCTCCAATTATGTTGCTTAAGATTACAGTGTGGGTAGGGAGCTGATTAAGGTTGGACATTCTAAAATAATCCCCAAAGAAATATAATGGGAAGAAAGCAAGGTCTCTCCTGACCCTCCATTGTGTAGGACTCTTTCTCAGTTTTTGCTTGCCCTTCCAGAAAGTCTTCCTGAAGATGTAATTCATGCTTGTCTGCTCTTACAGACACATCTGTATGTGGCTGAAGGACTGCTGGTGTCTTAACAAGGACCCTCCTCTTTGCATTGCTCTACAACTTGATTTTGTTTTAAAATATTACATGGAGATAAATCTACTTCCTTTTTTAACTACTTTCTAAAACTCGAAAGTATGTATAGCCAGTGTATTCTTTGGGGGAATATTTATATTTCTTCCTTTATTTCCTGTTCCAAAAGTGAGATGGTGGAAACCGGTGCAGTGGGACACGCTTGGGAAACTGAGGTTGAGGACAACACCTTTTCCTGGGTGACCATGGCGGACAGCACCCACAGAAAAGGAGGGTGCAGCGAGGAACTGGTGCCCAGTAGATAAATTGACAGGAGCATGGTGTTTGCCTGGAGGGCTCCCCAACGCTTCTTGGGAATGCGGTGGGTCCATGGACACTTACCTGGGAATCATGCATCCGTTCCATACTGACTTTGAATTCTGCCCCCTCCTTGTGCTGTGAGCCATGTCTGGACTCATCCATTGGTGTCCGCTGCTCTGGTGAGCGGAAATTCTCCCCATGCTGTCACCCTGTGGAGGTTCTTTCTCAGGGTTTCCCACTGTTCTTGTACACCTTGCTACCTAAATGGCCTTTAGTGTCCATTTGTCAGAGTATGTTTCTTAAAGGCTCCAGTAAGAAATTTGGTCGGGATCCTGGTGACCCCCACCGTGAATTTGGAACCTTCCTCTCTTCCACTCACAGGAGAAGGTTTGAGAGAATGTAAAAGAGCCACATCCTCTCTTCACAGGGCTGGTCATCCATACAGATTGCCACAGTCACGGGTGTGTGGCCAGGTGACAGCATAGCTGTGTTTTTCTGCCTCTAGGTGGAGTCATCCATCGGATGGGTACCTTAATGGTACCCAGATGATGAAGGAGCCATTTCTGTGAGATGCACCTTCTTTATTGTAGGGTGCCAGGTAGATACAGCTGCGAGCCACCAACACGATTTCTCATGCTCAACAGCAGACCCCTCTGTGCTCAGTTCTCTCTAATGAGGACTACAAGGTTCACGCCTGAAGCCCCACCAAGAAGTAGCCCAGGACCTTAGAAATAACCAGAAAAGAGAGGGCCCATGCAGAGCCCCCTAAATGTGGTCCCTTTCTGGCTATTCAGAAATCCTGATTAATAAGGAAACCCACCAACACACATTTCACACTTGGCCAAAAAAGAACAGTCACTATCTTGGTCTTACCATCATGAGCACCAAGCCTGCAGAGCTATTTCTGGCTGTCGTGTAGACTGACGCTGCTTTGGGTCTTGGTCCCTTAAAGCCCAGGGACTGGGTTTGTTTCAGTTCTGCCATGACTTGCTATGTGAGCTCTTAAAGGTGAATTGATCTCTGGGCCTCAGCTTCCTGCCTGAAAAAAAGGGATTAGGAAAATTCTGAGAGGCTTGACTTGAGGTCTCTGTGCTTCTCTGGTGCAGAGACACTTCAGGGAAGATTTCTTTTTTTAATTCTGAGATTATAAGAAAACATGGCTTTTCTGTGCATCTTTCTGAGAAAAGAGCAGGAACTCCAAAATGCTGAAGGGTAGTTCAATGGTCTCCCACTGTGGTTGGTTATCCCCAGCCTAAAGCATTCTTAGCCATTTTCCTGGCTCTTCCCCTAGTCTCTGCATTATTTATCTCCTTACCTCCCAGCTGCAAGCAGAGCCTGTTCCCTTGAGCACAGGGCTGGTGCTTGCTGAGCCTGCTCTCTGCAACCCTCTGCAGGCCAGCACTTTTCCAAGTCTTTGAACATTCCACAATTAGCACAAACTCCTAGGAGTTCTGAGAATTCACAGCTAGCCCCTGGCCAAAAAGGAGCTGCCTGTCTTATCAGAGGCCCAGAGAGAGAGGGATAGGTTCTGGCAGTGAAAATGATTGTCATCCAAAATCATCCCTGATTCAGTCAGCAAACATCCAATTCTTATTAAATTGACTCTTGATGGAATCTGTTTCTTCTCCTTTCTATTTTTAAAAATGAGCAGAAGGGTTTTGCAACTTTTAAGAGAATGGCTGTTGCTGATATCCTTACAAGACATAGATTTCAACATCAGGCCACTGGGGCCAGCGAAATATGTTGTTGGACTGTCTGTACCTGAGGCTGAGAGCAGATATGAGGAGAAGGCTTTTTTGTTTAGTTTCCACAGATGCTCAGTCTCTTAGAAGACTGGTCTCTATCTCCCTTGAACTGGGAGGATGAGGTCAACCTAGGACCTCCAGCAAGAATTGGGAATAGACCCAGCTGAAGATTCCTCCTGTGCTGGCTGTGCAGGCTTCCAGCATTCCACACCCAGCTCTGCTCTCAGTGTTGTTGTTAGGGTCTCATGCAGCCGGGGCTGGCCTCAAAGCCACCCTGTAGCCGAGGATGACCTTGATCCTCCTGTACCCACCTCTGGGTGTACTGGAATGTCATAGGCACGCACCTTCATGCCTGGTTTTCTGCAGTGCCAGTGATTGAGTGCAGGGTATTGCGCATGCTAGGCAAGTGGTCTACACCTGGGCTACAACCCCAGCTCAGCTCAACTTCCAGCCTTTGTGTCCTCGTTTGTTAGATGGAACTGGGATTTATAAATGGGCTCCTGTGTGTCCCATTGTCTCAATGTCTGTGATCTTTTCCCTTAGCCACACAGAGTTTTTACTAATGCCACCGCCTCTGGCTCAATCTCATTTCCCTGACTTACCCTCCTCTCTGGTCACTCAATCTTGCTTGATCTTCTGAACTCCACTTCTGCTTTGTAGCCAGTGTGGGACATGACACCCTCCTGAGCCACCTCCCACCCTGACAGGAAGTAAAAGAAAGGACTTATTTGAGCCCTGGCCATTGAGCTACATGAGCCACTGTCCCGTGCACACACAAAGCTCCACCATGGCCATTTCTTTAGGATAAGCCCTGGATGAAAGCAGAGGGCTTCTGCAGCCCTAGCTAGGGGTTGTTTTGTTGTTTCTCTTGTCCTTTAGGGACCCTCTCAACCACCTCCGAAACCAACCTCCAAAAGTAGATGTAGTAATTCTCTGTGATGGTAACTGCCAGCCCACGGATGGAGAGCCTGTTCATTTTTTTCATTTGATGTGAGGCTCCATGTCCCAAGCTACAGCAATCTGTCATCTGAGGCCCTGGGTAATGTATTCAGTTCTGTCATCTAAAGAGAATTATTTTCAACCTGGAAACATCAGTGGTGACAACACACAGCTGATCTATGTCCCTCCATCCCTGGTCACCTAAGGAAAGCACGAGGTTTCTTTACTCTCCCCAGTCTGCAGTTGATTGCTTGGAGAATTTAAGATGTGTATTTAAACCCCAGATCTGCCCCAGGATGAATTGGTTTTTCCTGAGAAACATCTGTATCTTGTAAATAGAATCTTACAAACATTTGCGGGACAGAAAAATTCTCTCATCCTTTCAAATGACCGCATTCTTGGTTGATCAATGCCATCTGGTGAAGAAGGCCAAGCTGTTCCTCCTTCAGTGAAGACACATCACGTTGAATGCCTGGCTTCCTTTCACTGTCCTCTCCCAGTGCCTAAGCACAGTGTCCTGTGCCCAGAATTGGCTGTGCAGCTGGGCAGTGGCCTCTAAGAAGGAGCACCTAGCAGGCATGAGCGTTTCTCACCCACTTCGTAAGCTGAGACCTGACAGTCCACAGAAGCAAAATGTCCTGACGCTCAGAAGCCATTCTGTGGGAGAGAGGTGTTTCTTGGTGATGTAGTCCTCAGCATTTAAGAAACCAAACTCAGAGGGACATTCACTAGTTAGCCCTTTCATCGAAGATCTGAGGCACTGCTAGCTTCTATCCATCCTTGGTTTTATTACAATCAGAGAAGGTGAAGGTCAAAGGGGAAACTGGTCCAATGGGAAAACTGTCCACTCTGAGAAAGTAAGTGATGCCCAGGAAGTCTAGTAGCCACTTCAGCGCTGTGAATGTCCCTCTGCACTGGGGAAGGAGGTGGAAGAAAGTATGGGTGTGGCCCTGGCCTGAAGGAGGGAGGCTTCCAGTTAGAGAAGAGGAGATAGGAGGCTAGAATAAGCCCAGAACCTGCCTGTGGGGTCTTGGTGCTTCATCTCCGGTCATCCACCTCTCGGGTAGGCATGGGAAGTCCATACTCGCCTTCTGTTGGTCTCCTTGACTCTCCCACTGTGCTAGAGGCCGTGGTATGCTTCTTCTCCGTCTGGTCCATTGTTGGCCTCTCAGGTTTCCACACATACTTGATCAGCTCCAACCAGACAACAAATGAAGATGTAAGTTTCTGGCTGTAACACATGGGTATTTGCATGGTTAGACTTGGAGGAGGAAGAGGATGTGAGAGGTCAGGGGTCACCTCTCAAACACACATCTCACCCCAGGTGTGAGAACCTTGAGGGCAGAGAATGCAGTGAAAACCCTGCCGGGGTCAATGGCGCCTCCCTGAATCCTATATTTTGCAACAATGCTATTCACATCCTAAGATGAGCCAAGTGACACCCAGTTCTGACCTTGGGAAGCCT